TGCAGGGTATACATACACGGACACAGTAGAGATAGACGCACGCACTATTGTTGACGATCGGTGGTGCATGTTTCAGACATAGCCCATATGGTTTGTGGTTTGTCTAGGGTTAAACAGATGTGGAAAGAGTTGCAGGCTTAGATGTACAGACTATTTGAGACCAGATATCAAGAGAGGCAAGTTCTCTCAAGATGAAGAACAAACCATTCTCAATCTCCACTCCATTCTTGGCAACAAGTATATACTCTCTCTCTCTCTAGATTTCTCTCTCTCTCCAAAAAAAAAGTATGTTTCACGGACATTTCAACTTCTTAACGTACATGTCAGACAACGCATTGTGGACGACACACGTCTGGATCATTTTTGTAATTTTCAAAAAATAATTAAAAAAACACATTTTAACAGCAAGTCTCCATCTCCAAATATTTTTATTGTTTCCTTAATTATTTACATAATTATATCATCAATTGCAAATTGAGAACATTTATAATAGAGATATACTTATCATTATTTTTTTTTATTTTTTTCTATATTTTGTTTATGACAAATAAAGGTGGTCTGCAATAGCAACTCACCTGCCGGGAAGAACAGACAATGAGATAAAGAATTTCTGGAACACTCATTTAAAGAAGAAGCTGATCCATATGGGTTTCGACCCGATGACCCATCAACCCAGATCCGATATTTTCTCGACCCTGCCCCAACTCATAGCACTCGCTACCCTTATCGAAAACCCATCTTTGTGGGAAGAGCAAGCCATGCGGCTCCAAGCCGAACAAGCCGTTCATATGGCTCGGCTCAATAACTGCCTCCAAAATCTCCTCCAACAACCACCGCCTTCATTCTTGCCGCCGCCGCCCCCCACTTTCCAATCGAATAATAATACTATCGCAGATATGGCGGATTTCAATCTTTTGAGCCACTACGAAGCGGCGGCGGCGGCGGCGGTCCCAGCCGGAGTTCTTCAGGAGCCGATGGGTTTCTCACATCTGCCTGATTTAGAGGTTTATGATTTTGGTGGGTTGATCAGCCATGGTGAGAACTCGGCTGGGTCTTCTTCTTCGGAGTGGCTCCGGCAGAATCTGCCGCCGCCTGCGGCGGATCCGGTGGTGGCGGAGAGTGATTCATTTACTAACGTGGTGGATGGATGCAGTGCATCCAGCTATGAGGGTGGTGGTCAAATGTGGTCTGAACTTTTGGATGATCCTATTTTCCATGATATTGCTTAGTTTTTTAAAATAGTGATTAATATTTTATATTTATATATAAATATAATATATATAATATAATTGCAATTGCATGGGGTTTTGGAGTATTAATTAATTTCTTATGTTTTGGAGTATTTAACATATTTAATTATACTATGTTCATATAAATTGTTACTCACCAGAAACTTTAATTATTTCCTAATTTATAGAAGATAAATTATTGAAAAAAAATAAAGCAAGTGAAATTAGTTCGTGTTAAGCATGGTTTTTGTTATTTTTCAATCTGGTGTAAAATGAAATTAACAAAAATATTTAATATAAAATACATTATTGATCATGCAATCAAAATTAAACACCAATTTTTCCATAGTTAAAAAATTATCATAATATAATATATATTCCACTTATATAATTCAAACAAAAAAAGAGAAAAAAATAAATAAATAAATAAAAGCAGTATATATTTCGTGAAGAGTAGGTGGACATTGTTGCTTTTCTAACAAGGGATTGACGATATATATCTGTATCTCTCCACTTAATTACCAAATCATTAATCTTATTATTTAATGATCTAGAATATTCACTCCGTGTCGTTATATTTGTCGTTTAGGTTCATGCAGAATGGTAGAATTCAGACGGATCGGATTGGAGTTAACATTTTTGAAAAAACATCACTTTCTTTTTTTTTTTGCAAAAAGAAGATATATTGAAATTCGAAAATGAAAATTCGAATTATGCTCGAGTCTGATTCATGTTTGGCTCGATTGTAGTTTGTACAATTTTAATTAGAATAAAACAAAAAAATCGATTTTATTAAGATTTAACTCTTTATTTCTTTCTTTACCTCCAAAAAAAAAAAAACCTGTATATTTCTTTAGTGGGCTTAATTTTCTATAGTCGGCCCAGTTTCATATGTTTCGTCGATTTGGGCCAGCCGATAAATAAATTATAGAATACCATATTAATGTATATATTTGTACCAAGGTATTCATTGGCGGCCGTCTCGTCTCCTATTCTTTGTTCGCTACTCGTCAGCTACTTTATACTCGTACGTAATTTTGTACTCGGACAATCTCGTGCTTCTTGTTTTATTTTCTTATCTGTGCATGGATTCCATTCAATTGGACCTAACCTTGTTGGGTCATGCTAAATCAAGCCGAATCAACTAGTTTCAACATCAAGTTAAACGTGAGAATACGATATAATAAAGCTTAAAATTATACAATCAACGTAAGCAAACAAAAACATCCTAATTTGAATTGTTTTACTATTTTTTTCAATTTTCAATATTTCAAAAAGATTATTTCACAATTTAAAATTTAAAACTTAAATCGTTGAAAATTTTGAAAATTGTATTATGAATTCCACCATAACGTGTGTACATCTATTCTCATTTATCTATATCCTTTTAATGGGGAATATGAGCATAAAAGATATATATCATATTAGAATACTTATCCTTTCTCAACAAATTGGACGCACTTGATTTCATGTCCCACTTCTATTTATCAAGTGTGGGCCAGATTCTATGCACCCGGCTCTTTAAACCCTACACTTGGTGATAAACACTGTTAGTCTTCTGTTGACATGTATATGTTTTTATAGTTTTCCTAAAATCTCTATTGATTAGCTCAAGTGAGAGAATATATAACAAATAATTAAATACAATACGTGTCAGCAAAAAATTCACCCGGCTATTTATCACCGAATGTAGGGGAAACAACCTTGCACGCACACTAGAAAAGTCAAACTTTGCTCCGCACCCTATAAATTCTCACCCCCAACCAAAACCCTACTCTTTCTATCCCTTTAATTTTTTTGGTAGCCCATCCAATTAAATGTATTTTTCACTTTTCTTTAAAAAAAAAAGATAAATAGAAAAAGAAAAAAAATATGTCATTTCCCGGCGACATACGTCACACTCCCGCCGCGACCAAGCCGCCCAGCACATCCTCCGCCGCCGCCGCCGCAGCCGCAGATCCACGCGTGCCGCTGATGAACCTCTCCGGCGTCCAAGCTCGAATGGATATTCTCCAGAGATTCCTCTCCGATTCAGTCAACAGCAACACTTTACTCGGTCAACCCCAAATGGACATGGTCTCCTCCGAAATCTCCTCCGCCATCCATCAGATCATCGTCAACGGCGCCGCCCTTCTCTCCTGCACTCCGCCTCTCTCCTTCGTTTACAAGCAGGAAGAAAAAGTGTCGAATCCGGGTCACCCGGATCCAAACCCGGTTCAAATCGTGAAGGATCCGAAGGTCGAGATCCACGTGGCGGACGAGGCCGCGGCCGCGGCCTCCGCCGCCGACGACCACGACATAATCGAAATGGACGCGGTGGAGCTGCTGGCGGAGCACGTCCATTTCTGCGAGATCTGCGGCAAGGGTTTCAAGCGCGACGCCAATTTGCGGATGCACATGAGGGCCCACGGCAACCAATTCAAGACCGCCGAAGCATTAGCGAAGCCGGAAAAGGTCGTCGGCGGCGGCGGCGGCGATTCGATCGGGCGGAGAACGACGAGGTTTTCGTGCCCGTACGTCGGGTGCAATCGAAACAAGCAGCACAAGAAGTTCCGGCCGCTGAAGAGCGGCGTATGCGTGAAGAACCACTTCAAGAGGAGCCACTGCCCCAAAATGTACTCGTGCAATCGGTGCAACAACAAGAGCTTTTCGGTTGTGGCCGATTTGAAGAGCCATTTGAAGCATTGCGGTGAGAGCAAGTGGTTGTGTTCCTGCGGGACCACCTTCTCGAGGAAGGATAAGTTGTTCGGCCACATGGCATTGTTCGAGGGCCACATGCCCGCGGTGAACGACGAGTTGGTGGCCGGGGGTGAGGATGAGGATAAGGAAACGGGGCGGAATATGGAGGAGGGTAATAATGGGATTTTCGAAGGGTTGCTCGATGGATTCGATTCGATTGAGGATTGTTGCTTTCAAGATCATACGATGAATCCTTCGAGTTCGTTGGATAATTTAGATGATTGTGGAATGGAGGGGTTCTTTAACTTTTGATTTTGATGTTGTATGTGTATATGAGTATATTGTACTAGTAATAAAATGGCATTCACTTCTTATAATTGTTGGTGATTTTTTTCATTTCCTCTAATTAGGCGTGTAAATGAGCTGAGCTGCTCGATGACCGGCTCGATAAAAGCTTGAGCTCAAGCTTGAACTTTTCGAGCTCGAACTTGAGCTCATTTTAGTTGTTCTCGCTGGCTTTATATAGATTTTCTTTTCTTTTTTGTTTTTAAATATAAAAGAAACTAATATATAACAATAAAATAAATAGATATATAACTTTAGAAAATTACAGATTTATGTTTTATTTTATAACTTTTAATTTTTCATATAAATAATATAGAAGTTCCTTTACTGAGGTAGTAGAGATAATTAAATAAACTTTAAATACATCAAAGAGAAATATAGCCTTGTTTGGTTAAAGATTGAACACAATCATCAAACATCTCTTCAATTGATCTGAATTTCATTCCTAAGCCCCTCAATTTCGACACATCTAATTCGTAGTAAGCTCTCTCCAATTTCTCAAACCTGAAAATACATTTAAATAAATTAAATTAAATAATAAATATTAATAAATAAATAAAAAAGAAGAAGAAGAAGAAGAAGAGAATTAATTTAGTGTAACCTTTTTGGAATTGGTAGAGTCGGGTATTGGGCCAATAGAATTGCAGCTAGTTCATCATTGTCGACGACGCGTGAGCTGCAAATATAACGGCCTTTTGCACTTTCATTTTCGTAAAGGAGAATGTGGCTCGACGCGACGTCGTCTATGTGAACATATCCCATTCTTCCATGCCATTGAAATTTTTCAGTCTCCCCTGAAATTAAGACCATTGAAAGAGATCTAACGAATAATGAAATGATTATTCAACATAAATTATTAAAAAAAAAGTGATTTAATTTATTTCTAAATCGGTCGTGAATCCTACCATCGTAATAGTTGTTTTTTGCATCCTATCGTCACGGAGAAATAAAAAGGGTTTCTCCGCAATAATATGCTAACACAAACGATCAATTTCAAAATCGAGACATTCGATTTGGTGAATTCTCGATGATTTGGCAAGAACTACTTTTTACGAATGCTCTATAACGGTCCGTACGTAAGGCATACATACTATTGCAAAAAAATGTGGAAAAGGAAGAATTAAACTTATTACATGGTCCTAATAATAAGGGCAAAGTTCAGTTTGTACCCCTGAATTATGGGATATGTCGCATACACACCCTTGAATTACGAATATACGAAACTTTAAGTACCTTTGAGCAAGCCAAGTATATCAGAAGCAGTAGAGCATAAAAGAGGTGGCAAACTTGGACCAACCACAAATGATGGAAGAATGGTTATCAGATCAATTTTGTTTTCCTCACAGAATTTCCATGCAGCCTTTTCTGCTAGTGTTTTTGACAATACATACCAAATCTAGTACCAAAAAAACAATATTTCAATAGTAAAATAATAAAATAAACATATAAATATAGTATATCACAATCATAAAAGGAAATTAAACTAGGCCCTTTTTTAAATTTTTTTTATGTTGGAATAATAATGTATAGTACCTTGAGTCTTTCACAAAGCTCCTCGCAACTCCAAGAAGATTCGTCCAACGGTACATGAGGGTCGAAATCGTCTCTTGCCCTAATTGTCGACGAAGAAGAGGTGAGAACCACACGCTTCAATGATGGATTCTTCTTACATGATCGCAGTACGTTCAATGTACCGTCGATTGCAGGCTGCAGTATTTCAGACTGTAGTAACAATTTAGGGGCGGAAAAACGATGAATAATCAAAATTACATGTTTTTTTGGAAAAGTCGAAAATGATCTACGTGTTATATGATCATGTACAATCTTTCATGATTTATAATATGTTTAATTGTGTCTCTATCAATTTTTCAATCAAGATTAGAGAGTTGGAAATTGAATGAATCAGATCCGAATCAGCACTTTCAGAAAAAAATCAATTTTTATCAGAAGGAAAAACCAAATCCTCCAATTCTAATCTAAAAACAAAATCGAAAAAAAAAAATTCAGAAAATTGGATATTTTTTTTTTAATTTCGGAACGAATAATATGACTCCAAAATTGATTTTTTTGGATGCAATTAGTTATTTCCTGCAAATCGAATTACGTAATATATAAGTAATAAACAATTGTGAAAAATATTATGCCTTAGGATCAGATTTAGGCAGTCCTAAAACAGGGGAAGCAGTGTGGAAAACTCCATGGCAGCCCATAATAGCTGCATCGAAGCTGCCTTCCACCATCAGATCCGCCTTCACGAGGCGGAGCCTCTCTTTTGCTCCGGCCAACTTCCACAAGTGTCCCACTTTTCCGTTGTCCCCTGCCACATTATTATTTGTGCCACAACAACGAATTTTAAAATTGAATACTTAATCGAATTATATATATAAATACATGCATAAATTTTATGAAATTTCTAAAAATCAGAATCAAAATTAGATTTTCACTTCCTAAAAATCGATTTTTTTTCGTTAACATACTAATTTCGATTCATTATGTTCGATTACGTTTACGATTACGATTACGACGCCTAATTAATTTAGATATTCTGTGATCGATGATACCTGGATCCCTGACTGTGCCGGTGACATGATAACCGGATAAGAGAAGACGCTTTATGAGCCACGATGCTACGAAACCGGCTGCACCGGTCACACATACTTTGCCCTTGTAATCTAATTCCGACATATTTGATCAATATTATATTCTTGCACTCGTATACGATACTTCTATATCCCAATGACACATAAAATTTATATAGCAAGTGAAATAATTACTAAATAAGAAGTAGAAAATGAGAAGGTAAGTCATCTAATTCTTATTTCATATTTAATTACAATTACACGAAAGAGATGAGTTTAGAAGTATGAAAAATGCGTAGGTTGTAAGTAGGCAGAGGAGGCAAAAAGTATGCTTATAATATACATACATTTTATTCTGAGAATGAATTGATTAAACAGTTGTAAGAAAGGAAAAAAAAAAGATGTTTTTAAATATTTTTCCATCATTACTAAAAATAGTAATGCGCAAATCAACGAAGTGTTATTCTGATTCGGAAAACTCCAAGTGTTTGCTTTTACATACCGATTTTCAATAATACTTTCTTGATCATTCTCGCCTTCATAACCATAACAATCCCTCGTATTGCAATTACTACAAAATAACCATTCGATTTTCTTGTCTCCTTCGTTTTCTTCTTCTTCATCGGCTAATAAATGGGGTGGTACCTCTGATTCCATTTGTTCCCATTCATTCATATCAAATCCTACTTCAAGAAAGTTAGCGACCGACATGGCTAGTGCTTCTAACGAGATCGACATTTTTTTTTCTTTGTTTTTTTTTTTTGCTAAAATAGGAATAATATATACTGTAACAAAGTAAGGGTTTAAAATTCTGTAATGCAAGAAAAAGTAATTCAAAAAGGGAATATTTTGATAAGAAATTGTGTAATATATACAATGAGTTATCTTTGTTTGTTATAGAATAAGGCGATGTACACGAAAATTAAATTAATTTTAGCAGAATGTTCTTGTGACGGTCTTCGTGTTGACTATGTTTTTGTCTACAATATAGATAGAGAGGGAGAGATCACACGTAATGAAAATAATTTTGCACACCACTAGTATCATAGTGGATCCGCCAATATATATATATATATTGCTTCCTGTCA